AAAAAAAGCAAAAAATTCTATTCGATCCATTTTTGTTGTTGCAAAAATTAGTTACACAGAATTGTGACTACTTTGTATACTTTATTTTTGTAAAGAAAACATACTAAATGATAAAAAGATAAATTAAACTCTTATCTATATAAGAAAAAATGGTATCTTTGCAACTGCGCACAGATTTCTACTTTTCTTTAAAAATAAAAAAAAAACAGTATAGAAGTAAAATAACTTGTACTTCCTAGATTGCAGAGCTTTTCATGCAGAATTTTGAGGTATGACTTGGCTTTTTAATAGTGTGTATTTTGAAATGAAATTAGATAATTGCAAGTTCGAGCATTTACTTATTATTTATTTTTCAAAAATATGATGCGAGAAAAATTGTTTCACAGTTCAAATTAAAATGTAAAAGAATTTGTTCTGCGAGAATTCTTGAAGCAATCGTCAAAGCTAATTCTAGAAAGTAAATTCGAAAAGAGTGAACTATTATGAAGAAAGAATTGCTCAATCTGGAACATGTATCAAACAAATATAGAAATCCCTTGTCTTATTATTGCTTCTCAATGATGAATCTATTGTGACACAGTTAATATTCTATTAAATTTTTCTTATATAAAAGATTTTACATCTGAATCGAAGTCATCAGAAAGGATCCGAGCAATTCTACCTGAAGATATAACTTTTGTCCTTTTGTCTATATGAATGTATTTATTTTACAATTTGAATCGATCAATAAACTAGAAACAAAACAACGCATAATTGAAAAGTATTTTGTCAAATCTACGAAAATTTATAGAATTTGTATCTCATTTTTTCTTTGTACTAGTCTTTTAGAATTTCGCCGGCTTTCTTCAGCTAAAAAATTGTATACAATCTAAAGCACAATTTATTTTTGAGAATGAACATAAACCAATGTTAGTACAACTGTTACTTATACCTTCCGATATTGTCTTTCATACAATCAGATCTTAGACTTTTTGTCTTAGCAATATAATTCATAGTTTAGATGAATTTTATACTAAAGAATGGAAATTAATCATGATAGCAAAAAAAGGGCTGAGGGAGAGCATGAGTCAAACTCTCATGAAAAAAATGTTAGAGTTTCTATATCTCGCTTATTTTAGATCAAAATCTTGAAATGTTTTCCATGGTCCAATATAGGGGCGTAACCAGAAAAAGTTGGTAGGGGGGGCTCAGCCCCCCTACTCTTCCCCCCCCCCTCCCTCCCCCCATATTGGTAGAGAAAATTAAAGCTTTTGTTTAAACGAAATCGAAAGTTAGCAAAGAAGAAATTGAATAAGGGTGTAACCAGACAAAAAGAAATGAGTAGATCACTGTCGTGTAAAATTTAAATTATCTGTGACACAGATATTAGAAAAGAGTTTCCTCGTTATTCTATAGCGTTTTACATTTTCAAATTTTGGATATCAAATTTACTGATTTTGAAGAACCTTCACCTTTTCTCAAGAAAATAACATTATGAATGAGTTTTCTTTGTTTGTGAAGAAGATGCGGACGAAGTCGATGTTTTTGGTAAAGCAATCAGAATATTCGTCTTGAAAAATCAAGATACTCCTACTACGGAAACTGACATGTTTGCAGTATAAGACAGAAATCGATGTTCTTTATTTAATATTCGAATTCGTCCAAGTACGAAAATATAGAAATATTACGTAGGAAATAAAATCGGGATAGAAAACGTACATTTATAGGCAGCTATATCTAAAAAGCGGAACTTTTACTGCGATTGAGTTTACAATAAAGTAATATATGAAAACAGTTATGGTGAATATTATCTAAAAATGCGGTATCCTCTAAATAAGATTTTCATTCAAAACTGATGCAAGATTAGATCTTTATACTTGTATTTCAAAAATGTTGTTGAAATTTTGTCTCTCCTGTTACTGTTATTATTGACTAATGAGCAATTTCCATAATCTAGATTCATTTATAAGTATCAAATCTTTCTATTATGCGTAAAATTACGCATTGATAAAGGTCTACAATTAACTAGAGAGTAATTCAGACTTCCATATGAAGAGCAAAATTGATTCTTCTTAAGACTCATGAGAAACAATCAAAATGCTATTACTTTGAAGAAAGTTTCTTTTGTCAGTTTGTCTAGAAATAAAAAGAAATACTATTTTCATATACAAATAATTAAATCTGTGTGATATTTTGATTGTTAATTTACTTTCAGCAGATTTCTACACATGACTATATGAAAATGCGTAGAGTTTCTATAATTTAAACTATGAAAAAAATATTCAGAGAGTTGTTTTAGAATAAATCTTAGAAAAATATCTTACAACTAGTGTCAATTTGAATATATTTTGGATCTAAAAAATCAGAATCAGCTGTCAACTATGGCAAGATACTTTTACGTTTCGAAATATTGTACAATATTGAGTAAAATTATTTATAATTATCGTTATAGTCTTCATTCTGCAAATTTTTTACTTTGAAAAACTGACTGAATATCGAGTTTCTCTACATACTCACTACACGCATCAAAGCAACAAGATAACATCTGATTAAATCAGTTTTAGTTGAGTTTGTGTTCACGATATTTGTGCCACGGATGAATCTATTTTTTCAATATTAGAACATTCTTTCTAGGGGGGCCTCAAGCCTCCGTAGGGGGGGCTGAGCCCCCTCTAGCCCCCCTCTGGTTACGCCACTAAGCATCATGTAGGTTAAAAATTCTTTTGTATCCGGTCTATTGAATTACGAGGAGTTGTGATTAGTAACGGTAAAAAACCGATCAAAACTTATTCGATTTAGTGTATAAGTCAAGGAGGAAAGTTTTTTCTATGGATTTGCCTATCGTGTTTTGAGCTTTTACTTTCTTTTTTACAAACTTGATCATAAAAGTATTTTTTCTGACAGCAGAACAATTATTTTTACCACGTATGAAAAATATTTCTATCTGGAAACATGCATCAGGATAGTCTATCCAGTCTAGATAGTGAAAAGTATCAGAGTAATAAACCTAAATTTATTATTGTTATTATAGCCGTTGTAAAACCAAAATAAGTTATCCAAGATTTTATTTGACTCTTATAAGATGAGTGAAGTATTGAATAATTGATTTATCTGTCGACCAGTCCAGTCCACCTGCTCGCATAAGCGATATTGATAAGGACCATCTATTGCAAATTGGAATTTGCATAAAACTTAATAAGTAAAGACTGCGACTAAGTTGAAGGCAAATGAATATCCGCACAAAAAATGGAAGTAAGCACTAGTTCTTGGTTTCTTTTTTTTTGGTCTGGCACCTAAGGTGACTATTACATCTATAAATGAGGCTTTGGGTTCAATAACTTCCTATGACACTTTAAATTTCTATAGAGAAGCCGGTATGGCTGAATGGTTAAGATGTTTGACACATATCCACAAGATATCGTGTTCAAACTTCGGCTCCATCAGTCATATAATGACCTTGGACAAGTCACTAACGGTTAATTGTCTCGGACCACCCATACGATAACAAACTGACTACATAGTCAACATACACTTTTAGTCATTATGACTAGTATGTGGTTGATCAGGGTGTTGGGGAGCGTTAAGCGAGAAGAACTTTGTGTCAGGCTGGCCTTCTGACCAGAGCTACATCTAGCAATAGACGTAGGAAAAATATCGGGCTTATCGAAACTGTCCTTGGACAGCACCACACACTGCAAGGTAGCCGAAAGGCAGGGTATTCTATTCTTCAAATTTCTATAGAATATACTAGTGAATTCTACAACTTCCTAAATATAGTCAGATTTTCATCAGAAACATTGACGAACTCTACAACTTCCGAAATCTATTTAGATTTCTATTGACAATTGTGGTGAACTCTACGACTTTCTAAACTTAGCTAAACTTCAATTAAAGTTAAACAGTACTAATACAAGTATTTAAGATAAATAATTTGGTTTTTTCTACAATCTTTTTAAAATTTTAAACTTTCAAATAACTGTTTAATTTTGCCTAAACTCCAATTTTGCCCCACACAGATATATGAGTTAGGAGATCTTTCTCTAATTTCATCAATATTCTAATCCAAATAATATTGCTATTCTAATACGATTCATTTTCGTTTCTTCGTTAGTAAAACTTGCGTATGAATCATATTATACGGCACATTTTGATTGTTTGTGATCATATTAACTGCAAAACTTATCAGTTTTATATTTCGATCAAATGATAGATTTTCTCAGCATGATTTTTTTTCGTCTCTATCTTCTCATGCATGAAATATCTATTCTTATGCAAATTTGCTGTCTAAAATAACGCGTTATGAGAGACATCGAGGATACCTGTTGTGATTACATGTCTCCTTATGACAAAAGTCTAATGTTTTACGTGTAATTTGTACTATTGACAGTGGCGTCTTTAAAAATTGTCAGAAAAAAAAGGAAAAGATAGCAGCATTCATAAGAAAGAAAATGACGCAGGTCAAATCTACAAGAACATGCTTATGATGTTTTTTATTAAAAGAAAATATTCTTATTGTATCATACCTATACATAATAGTCACTATTTATTGTAACACAAATATAAAATATTTTTATCTTTCTCGAATGCTCGTTTTATATTCATTATGAGATTACATCAATGAACGAAAATAATACGAATTCTTTTCAACTTTTTGAAACTTCTTCAACAAGACTTGCCAAATTTATTTTATTTGTTTCACTCGAACCTCCAGGTCTTCTCTGTAACTTTTTTCTTGTATACCATCTTATTACGGATCGAGTTCTTCGTCGAACACTTCATCATCATGTTGTATTAGTCTTACTTATCGTTAGTCTTTTGACAAATACAATCGAGGTTCCTCGTGTATTAGCTTTTCTTCATATTGGTTTCGTCACACCAGCAACAACAACTAACTGTATCATATGGCAATGGTGTGATTTTACACTTTGTAGCATTAATAATATGCTCATGTGGTGGATGTCAATAGAACGACATTTATTAATATTTCATTCACATCTATTCGATACATCTAAACGTCGTTGGCTTTTACATTATATACCACTTCTAGCATTGGTGATATATATTGCTGGTTTTTATGCTATAGTGATTTTTTTATACCCATGTGAACCGCAACCTGATTATTTCTCAGTACTTTGTGGTTTACCGTGTTTTTCTCTCGAATCAGTAATCTCTACATTTGATTTGTTGGCTCATAATTTAATCCCTTTGTTCTTCGATATTATTCTTAGTATTGGCGTGGTCTTCCGAGTATGGTACAGAAAAGCAATCTATATGCATCAATCTATTCAATGGCGAAAATATCGAAAGATGATTTTGCAGCTGGTGACATTGTCTATACTCTACTGTGTAACTGTGGCCCCATATGCTCTTATACCTTTCATCGGTCTATTTGGTGGTTTATCTCTTCTTGCAGAGTATATACAAACAGTGTACTTTTATTATCTGTTTTGGTTACTGGAATTATTATTGCCTATTGTATGTATTGTTTCCATTTCCGAAATAAGAATGAAAGTCAAAAATATTTTCACAAAGCTGATTCGACCAAAAAACATTGTGGTGCCTTTAAGACGAATTTAATTTACAACTGTAGAACAGAATTTCTCATTGTTGTGTTACATGATGATCTTTGTAATTCGTTAATGATATATTTTCTGTATATAATTTCGTTGGTATGAATAAAATTTCATTGAAAAATGTGCATGAATAAAGAGATCAGTCTGAAGGTTCTAAATAACATAGACAAGATAAATTTTATAGAATAAGTAAGCCACTAAGGTAAGAAAGTGAGCTGATATTTGTGATGATTTTTGATAGAAGAAAAACGAGCGGTGATAGAACTCCGCTTTATTGTGTTTCTTCATATCTTCAATGGTATCGTTTTCTTTCAAAGCATCGAGGGTGTGGGTATGGTTATAGGTGTGGGTGTAGATCACAGAAGAGCCACACCCATACCCCACACCCACTCCCACACATCCACTCCCGCACACCCACCCACACACCTCAACGAAAGATCATGTTTTGGAAACATTCGAGATGTTGGTTGGGTGTGGGTGTGGGTGGGTGTGGGTGTGGGTGTGGGTGGGTGTGGGTGTGGGTGTGGGTGGGTGTGGGTGTG